TATGTCATTGTTCTGCATGTTTGAAAGAATAAATCAAATCAAATCAAATCAAATCTTTCTGTTATGCACAAATGAATTACTTAAATAATTTCACAAGACTACATGTCACTGTGTAGGTTTTTACCTTCAGAAACATAATGAATGTGTCTCCAATAGAATAAATTGAATGATGTTAATATAAACAAGAGTATACTGAGTAAAGCAAAAAAAATGCATGTGTGAGAAGTGAATGTGTTTGTGTTACTGAGCAGACAGGAGGTGTAGATGAGATACTCTTAATAAATACAATGTCAAGAAAAAGTATGTAAACCTTTTGGAATTTTATGGTTTTCTGCATTAATTTGTCATAAAATGTGATCTGATCTTCAATAATATATAAGTCAAGAGTACTGACAAATATAACACAAAAAACATTCTGATCTTTCATGTCTTTATTGAGAACAACCATAAAACCTAATAGTGCTAGTTGAAAAAGTATGTGAACCCTTGAGTTAATGACCTCAAAAAAGTTAATTGGAGTCAGGTATTAGCATACCTGGAGTCTTGTTAAGAAAATGAGTTTGGAGGTGTGGACTAGAGCTACTTTGACTGATAAAAACCACTCAAACCTTTTGAGTTTGCTCCACACAAGAAGAATATTTTTATGTGAGCCATGCCTCACCAAAAAGAGCTTTCAGAAGATCTACAATCAAGATACATCGATCTACATATAGCTGGAAAGGGTTATAAAGTCATTTCAAAGACCTTAAAAGTTCACTAGTCTACAGTTAGGCAAACGATCTACAAATGGAGACACTTTGGGACTGGCTACTCTACCAAGAAGTGGGCGCCCAGTCAAAATGACCCCAAGAGCACAACGAAGAATCAGCGAGAAACAACATCGAGTGACAGGCAAAGTTTTGAAGGCATCATTGGAACTGGATGTTCTTGAGTCTACAGTACGTAAAACATTGAACACTGTCTATGGCAGTGTAAGATTTGATTCTTATAAACTCTAGTTACTTTATAAGCTTTAGTTACTTTTCATAACTTTAGTTCCCTTTAGTTACTTCTCATACCTTTAGTTACCTTTCATAACTTTATTTTCCTTGTTTATACATATTACAGCTGTATTGATGATTGTCCAGAACTATTGAGCTTTGGTTATTTTTAATACATTTATTTTCCTTGCCTATATATCTTACAATTGTATGGATGAGAATCAAGTGATAATGAAGTAGAATCTGCTTACTTTGAATGCTGTAACTTCTGTAGAGACTAGATGTCTGCATGTCCTAGTGTTATGGTGGCGTCCCCCCCAACAGGAGGGTGAGGGAGAACTGAGGTAGGACTCAATGTGCAAGACCCAGGTGCTAGTGAAAAAAAGGTGGTTTATAGGAAAAAAAACACAAACAAGGTAACAGAGTCGATGTATGTGGCATATTCAGGCTGGACAGTACAAAAACAGGGTAGGCTGAGGAGACCAGGTCAAACAGGTGAGTGGACAAACTAATGGCAGGAACCAGGAGAATAGGAGGATCTAGGACGGACAGGTGAGTAGACAGAACAACCAGGAGGATCAGCAAATGCCGTCAGGGAAGCAGAGTAGTGGACGAAAAAAGAAATCAACAACACAGGAACTGTCAGCATTGAAATCAAATTACGCATGCCTAAACACATGGAAACAACATACAAAAGAAAACCACAGCACAGGAACTGTCAGCGTGGAAATCAAGAGACATATAATACAAAAAAAAAACACGTAACCAATGTACAAAAAGAGATCCACAGCACAGGAACTGTCAGCATGGAAATCAAAATGACGTACGACACATACCGTATACTGATATACAGGTAATGCTCCGGCGAAGACGGAGCGTCTGCCAGAGGTTTAAATAAAGGAGCAGGTAATCACAGGAATGCACCTCAGCTGTGCCGACAAATGAGTCACTCATTACCGAATGCAACACAGCTGAGGTGCCGATCAATCTTTCATTCAATTATCACTTGATCGAGAGAGAGAAAGGAGGAAGAGAGGCAGGCCGCGCTGAGTGGACCTGACACCTAGTAACCAGACAGCCTATTTACATTTTAACAAAGACCCGTTGGCCTGTATTGCACTCACACCTCGACCCACTTAGCATATTCCAAATTCTGCTTTGTCAAGGGGTGTCCTGCAGGGCCAGGGGGCCCACAACCTGAGATGACCACCTGGCCAGTTCAGCATACTTATTAGCATCACACACAAAGGGGGCCTGCAACCCAGGCTACCCATTGTTCAGTGCCCATTGATCAAAATCAAGCTGCCACCTGAGACACACACACACACATATACCTAGATTTTACCACATTCCGACAAGGAGGTGTGAGCTCCGGCCCTCACCAAAGGGCCAATACGATTAAGAAGTGTTGAGTGTCATACCTCTATCCAGGGTGGAGCAACCCAAGAAGATAAAATGTATTGTAAAACATAATTCAGGGTTCAGAGAATGGAATTCCTGTGGGAGCTCTGTCTTTCTGATCACAGCGCTGTAAGACTTTACCTGTGCTCAGACTTCCAGTAAATTTTCTGATGATTTTAAACAGTCCTCTCCTGTCTTCACTTCTCATGCTTCCAACAAAAGAATTGGGTTAATTTCCAACAAGCAGGACACCATGAAGGAAGCACCTGCTTACTAAAAATAACCTTGCTGCATGCCGGAAGTTTGCGAAAGAGCACAATGACACTCCACAGTGGTACTGGCAAAATTTTTTGTTGACCTGATGAAACTAAGATTGAACCATGTGGAAAGAACATGCAGCACTACATCTGGCATAAAAAGGGGACTGCATATCATCATGAAAACATCATCCCAACTGTAAAGTAAGGTGGAGGAAACATCATGATTTGGGCCTGCTTTGCTGCATCAGGGCCTGGCCAGCCTGCAGTCACTGAGGGGAAGATGAATTCCCAAGTGTATCAAAAAATTCTTCAGGATAATGTGAGAATGTCTGTATATCAACTCTGTAGAAGTTGGGTGATGCAACAGGACAATGGCCCAAAATACTGGAGCAAGTCCACAACAGAATGGCTTCAGAAAAACAAAATCTGCCTTTTGGAGTGGCCAAGTCAGAGCCCAGACCTCAACCAAAAAGAGATGCTATGGAGTGACTTGAAGAGAGCCATACACATGAGATGTCCAAAGAATATGACGGAGCTAAAGCAGTTCTGCCAGGAAGAATTGGCTAGAATTACTCCAGAATAATGTGCAGGTCTGATCCACAGCTACAGGAAGTGCCTGGTTGAGGTTAATGCTGCCAAGGGGGGTCCAACCAGTTATAAATTCCAGGGGTTCACTTACTTTTTCCACTATCATTTTGAATGTTGAATGAGTGTCTTCAATAAAGACATGAAAGATCCGTTTTTTTTTGTGTTGTTTTTGTAGGCACATTATATTTATCAGTACTCTTGCCTTAGACAAAGATCAGATCACATTTTATGACAAATTCATGCAGAAAACCATGAAATTCCAAAAGGTTCACATCCTTTTTCTTGCCACTGCTCAGTGTCTATGCTTGTGTGACTGGGCAGGGACAAGGAAGTTAGTCATTTTTATTCAACCCACTCTGTCAAATGAGTCATAAATGAAGAAATATTTGATATGTAGTCTTAAAGGATCTGTTTTTTGTTTATTTATTTTTCCTACTGTTAGGTATTTTTTTAGTCAGATAGGTATTGGTTAGGTACCTGTTGTATTAGAAATGTCTTTAGTGTAGACAGGATGTCTAGCTCAGGCTGTTAAATGCTTACTCATTTCCAGGAGTTACTCCAGGTTGTTTATGTTCCAGGATAACTAGATAGAAAGTGGCTACTGTATGATATGTTCAGCCGTAATCTTAATCATAATATCTTCCTAGGCTTAATGTCCGGACATGTCCCTGAATGTCCTGTATGTTCTTAGATACACACCACATAATCAACACTCACACACATTGATTTTCTCCATGTTTTGACTACTGCTACGGTCAGCTGTGAAGCTGGCATATCAGGTGACGCCACGGTTTGACATCCCTGTGTAGAATGGGGTTAGCCCAAACCAGATATAATGTACAGGCCTGTTGGGCTCGGGGTCTTTTCATTCTTGTCCCAGACTTCTTCTCGAGTCCAGATAGTGGAAAGAATTTCAGTCACACACCAATATCAAAGTGCACTTATTACCTTTTATTGCAGATATATCTGGAGATCATACAGCAAGCAGCAGGGCAGATGATCTGAAGTGAAACTCACCCAGACTGTGTGTTTTATAATATTTTCCCCTAACCTTACACATTCTTGCTTATGCTGATCATGCAGCTGAAATCAATTGATACTAGCCAAAATTCTCTCTCATAATACACAATTGCACCTTGTATGCCTCCCCGAATCACATTCTTGTGATAAGAAAAGCACACACATAATGATTTAATGAGCATTCTGTGAGATTTGTGAAGATTATTTTATTAAAACTTATCCTTTTAAGTGCATTTAATGAAAAATAGTGGAGTGTTGCAGACAACTTGATATTCCACTGTGTAATCACTTAATTTTCTTAGGTGACTCCCTTGGAGCAGGGCTGTGCTAAGCACAACTCCTTACAAGTGCATCTTATAATGAAGTGAATTCACACACTACAACTATGTGAAGGTTATACTTTTGTCTCACCGCACAGTGCCTTATTAGAGTAACAATTTCCAAACTATATTAGTGCCCTAGTTATATAGTAACCTAAATACATCAATATTTCACAAGAGTAACTGGGAAATATCTTTCACTACTTTTGCCCTCACCACAGAGACTTGCTTTGTCCCCACATGTGAGAAGTAGTGTTATCCAGCTCTCCTCTGTCTGGTCCAGGCTGAGAGTAGATTGATTTTCAATCATGCAGAACCATCTGAGTGATGAATGTGTTTGTCTTTACAGTATATTGCCTGTTCTGCTTTGTGGTGTTTATTTGCCAATGCCTGATGAAGATCTCTGTTAAATCAAAATGTTGCTTTATTAAATTTGCTGGGAGCTATCAGTGTAGTGTGTGTGTGTGGATCTTTCATGACTTTTGCCTCAAGTTTGTAATGAAATATTCCTCATTTTTAATACATGCCTGCTGGTCTTCTAAGATTGTATTGTCTGGTTTCTTGGTGAAGAATTAGGTTACATCTTAGAGGAGGACAATAATAAAGAAACAAAGGGTTCTGTGATGTCAATATACAGTCTGTAAATTAGCCCTGCCTACCACGTAGCGAGGGTTATAAGAAGCGTTTTTTAAACTGCGAGTAGTCATGACAAACAATCAGCCAGGGAGGAGCTGTCAGCAGCTAATAGTCAGAAACAGTAACTGCCAGACTGAAGAGGCTGGACTCTTTTGCAGTGTGGCAAGAAACTAAAACCAGAGTTAATGCTGGTTTGCCTTTTTTGAGATGGAATGTTAGGTAGGTAGGTACTTTATTGATCCCAGAGTGGGGGAAATTTCTGTGTTACAGCAGCAATAGAGAACAACCAACATAACGCCATAAGAACAGACACCACCATAAGAACAGACACATAAGAACAGAACTTCATAGAAACACGGGAAAGAACACAATGAGGACACAGCTGCTGTAACTTTCTGCCACTCCACACGGCGCATGCGTTAAAAGCAGCCAAAGGGCTCAAGTCTGGTTTTTGATGTGAGTTTGTTTTGCGTTTCACTACACCCTCTTGTGGCTGAAAAGACATCCGCTCAAGTAATTTTGAGCTGACAAAACAATTCCTGTTTTTAGTTGAAGCCTTTTTCTTTTTTTATCTGGTCAGCTTGAAGTGGATGAAGTGGCTTTTCATTGCATTTGTCCATTTCTTCTGCTATAAATGTCAGGTCCGCTCAGCATGACCTGCCTCTCTTCTGCCTTTCTCTCTCCTGCTCACTCTTCTTGCAGGATCAGCACCTCAGCTGTGTCGCATTTTGTAATCAGTGACTTGTGGGTTGTCGCGCACAGCTGGGGCGCATCGCTGTAATCACACTCCTACCTTATTTATACCTGTGGATCTCTGCGTTTGTTATTTTTTTCCATGTGGTTAGCTAGACATTCTTTTGTTATCCACGCTAACAGTTCCTGTGCTGTGGATTTCCCTTTTCGTCCGCCTGTCCCCTTGGTTAACTTGTCTATTCCCCTGTCCGTCTTGTTCCTCCCACTCTCCTGTTTTTTTACGGTTGGCCAATCTTTTCTCCTAGGTCATCCCGGTCTCCTCTACCAACTCTACCCTACTTTGCTGTTTATATATGTTCATGACTGTTGTTATGTTGTTACTTTGTTTTGTTCCATTAAACCTCATTTTTTTTAACTAGCACCTGAGTCGGCAATCTTGAGTCCAACCTCAGTTTTCCCTCACCCTCCTGGTGAGGGGGACTAAGCCATAACAATAAAGTTCATATGGAAATTGATGGCTTGCTTCTCCCCATGAGTATCTCAACAAATCGGTAACGCGCACACACATAAACTGTATACATCACACAGTCTAATCTGCATAGTCCAAATCTAACTTAGGTTTTAATTTGGTGGAAAGTAACTAAGTGCATTTACTCAAGTACTGTAGATAAATACAATTTTGAGGTATCTGTTAGGTACTTTCTTAGTTAGATAGATATTGATTAGAGATCTGTTGTATTAGAAGATGTTAGTGTAGCCAGGATGTCTTCCTCAGGCTGTTAAATGCAAGGTTAGTTACAGTTTTTCTCAAATGCTAAAACACAAAAGCCAATCCTCTAAACCAAATGACCAGTTGTCTAAACACATTTACTAAATCTAGCCATCATTTTCCAATATCATAAACACATTTCACATGAAGACACAATTCACAAAACACAATCCTCCGTTCTCATAAATCTTAACACATTTTTCTTTGCTAAAACACAAGTTGCAAAAGAACTCTGCTCATATTCTCAAATGAAAGCTCATGTGGTGCAAAATGCTTGCCACAGTCAGCAATATTTGAACACAATGAACACACCTGGCGTCATTCATTACACACAACGACTCCAAATTGAAGACACTTGTTGCTAATGCTGTGACCACATGTACAAAAGCAAGTTCAGAGTGCACAGTTTGCTGAAGATTCCAAACAAACACAATGGATGAAGACAGAGTCAGGGGAAGAGGAATTCGAGTCAGAGGAGGGAGAAGAGCTGGCCATGGAAGAAGAGGAGCAGGCCAACGAGGAAGAGGAGTTCAAATCAGAGGAGGAAGAGGAGCAGGCCAACGAGGAAGAGGAGTTCAAATCAGAGGAGGAAGAGGAGCAGGCCAACAAGGGAGAGGAGAAGGTCCAGGAGGGAGAGCAAGACAACCTCGCACCATCATTACGGACGAGATGCGAGCAACAGTCATTGACCATGTCATTGTCCATGGCATGACAATGGCTGAAGCAGGACTACGAGTCCGTCCAAACCTGAGTAGGTTCACCGTGGCCACCATTATCAGGGCATTCAGACAACACAACAGGTATTGTACTCTATTGCTTTCTTTGTCACAATAAATTTTAACAAGCCTGTGAAAGTAGTCTATTGGTTTCAAATCAGTTGTTACTGTATTGTAAAACTGACAACACATGTTTCTTTCTTTAGAGTTGAAAGAATGCCACATAGAGGTGGGAGGGTTGCCATATTTACAGCGGCACAAGAAACCCGCATTGTGGATATGGTTCGTGAGAACAACCTCATCAGACTCCGGGAGATCAGAGACAAAGTCATTGCCGATAATGTCAACTTTGAGAGCATTGATGATGTCAGCTTGGCCACAATAGACCGAGTCCTCCGGTGCCAAAAGATGCGGATGAAACAGGTCTATAGGGTTCCCTTTGAGCGCAACTCTGCGCGACAC